AAAAAGAAGAGATGGTGTGCAAATTAGAAAAATCGTTGTACGGATTGAAGCAATCTCCAAGGCAGTGGTACAAGCGATTTGACAAGTTTATGATAGGGCAGAAGTACACAAGAAGCAAATATGATCATTGTGTGTATTTACGCGAGCTAGAAGACGGATCCTATATATATCTTCTTCTTTATGTTGATGATATGCTGATAGCTTCTAGGAGTCAGACAGAAATTACGAAACTAAAGACTCAATTGAACAGGGAGTTTGAGATGAAGGATCTTGGTGAAGCGAAGAAGATTCTAGGCATGGAGATATCAAGGGATAAGAAATTGAGGAGGCTTTGTTTGTCTCAGAAAGATTATCTGAGGAATGTACTAAAATGTTTTGGCATAAATGAGATGTCAAAACCAGTTAGTACACCTCTTGCTCCTCATTTCAAGCTCAGTGCATCCATGTCACCTAAGGATGATGCAGAACGGGAATACATGTCAAAGGTTCCGTATGCAAGTGCTGTTGGTAGCTTAATGTATGCAATGGTGTGTACGAGACCCGATATTTCACAGGCAATTGGGGTTGTGAGCAGGTATATGCATGATCCTGGAAAGGAGCATTGACAAGCTGTGAAATGGATTCTGCGGTATATTCTGAACACCGTAGATGTTGGTTTGGTCTTTCAGCAGGACAAACAAGATGGTCAGTGTGTAGTTGGGTATTGTGATTCAGACTATGCAGGTGATTTGGACAAGCGTCGATCAACTACTGGTTATGTGTTTACATTTGCAAAGGCACCAGTCAGTTGGAAGTCCACCTTACAGTCAACAGTGACTTTGTCTACTACAGAGGCAGAGTATATGGCAGTTACAGAGGCTGTGAAGGAGGCAATTTGGCTTCAAGGGTTGCTTGGTGAATTGGGAATGGAACAAAAGCACATCAAAGTGCACTGTGATAGTCAGAGTGCTATTCATTTAGCAAAGAACCAGGTTTACCATGCAAGGACGAAGCACATCGATGTTCGATATCACTTTGTACGAGAGATTCTAGAAGAAGGTGGAGTCATAATCCAGAAGATTCGGACCACTGAGAATCCTGCTGATATGTTGACAAAAGTGGTAACTGCGGTCAAGTTTAAACATTGTTTAGACTTGGTCAATATTGTTACAAATTAAAAGATTGTTTTTTTAGAGATGTGTGTGGAATTTGCCAAGGTGGAGATTTGTTGGTTTTTTGGCAAAAGTCCCACATTGGTTGTGTATAAGGAGGAGGGGAAATTCTTTTGTTATAAATAAAGCCCTCCTCCTCCTTAGTTAATCATCCCACAAATATAAGCCTTCTTCTATTTTAAAGGCTATTTGTATTCTTTCTCTCGTTGTAATATTTCCTCTATTAGTGAAATATTTTGGTGTTCTCTTTTATGTCTATTTAATAGCTATTGTCGGGTATAGTTGTTGTTAATTATTGTCCTATTAAAATTACTTGTCTTGGTAGTTCTGTCTAAGGAAAGTGGGTTTTAAGAGGGACCATTGTGACCCCTCCTATTTCCTGTGAATCTACCTTGGGGTGATTTTTAGTACAATCGTTTTCACACTAGTCACCTAGATAATAGTTTTCAAGGTGAATTGTTATTGGTGGAAATTAACCCAAATTTCACAACAGTCTGTTGGCTGTGTCCTTGCTGAAATGTTACTTGGACAGGTAGGAAGCTTGTACATATGAGGTTTATGGGTTTTATTATTGCCTTAAATTAAGCTTGGTGTTCCGTAATAAAAAAAATTCCTATTTATCTCAGCCTTTATTTCCTGGTGAGAGTGGAGTCGACCAGCTTGTTGAGATTATTAAGGTATTTAACTTTCTGAGTGAATAGTTAGTGCAATGTTTTTGTGTGCGTATGCATATGTCCACATTATTACAATAATGTCATTGTGGAATGTTTCAATGGGAGGAAACTTATTTTCTTTACAGAGATAACAGATTCGTTGCCATTTATTATGGTTTCTATAAGTGCCTTTGTTAATGATAATGTCGTGAAATACCCGTGTTCCTTGTGGATGTGTACTTGGCTAATAAACTTTGGTCCTAATACTTTTCCATTGCATGTGTTCTGTTTGATATCATTATACCTTCTTTAGTAATTTGCAATGTCAAACTGACCATTTCTCTCTTGTTATGATTATTATGCGACTATTTTCTAGGTCTTGGGCACTCCAACACGAGAGGAAATAAAGTGTATGAACCCTAATTATACAGAGTTCAAATTCCCTCAGATTAAGGCTCACCCGTGGCATAAGGTATTAAGGATCAAAGAACGAGTGTGCATATGGTCTTCTGTTTAATCTTATGAAACAATGATTTGAATTATTTTTTTGTACCAGATATTCCATAAGCGCATGCCTCCTGAAGCTGTTGATTTGGTGTCGAGATTACTCCAATACTCCCCTAATCTCCGGTGTTCTGCTGTAAGTATATAAAACCTTTATTATATCATGGTTCGTGTTTTTCCTTCGATTTGCGACTTTTGGAGTGAACTCCAAGCATTGAGGTATCTTCGTGATGAAAAAGGGAGTTGACAAGAAAATTCATTGAGCAAGCTGCAAAGAGGGACATTAATGTGTTCTCTTTACTTGTTTCATGCATCTCATTTTGCAAGTGTCGCTCAATTTGCAGCTAGATGCCTTGATCCATCCTTTCTTTGACGAGTTGCGCGATCCAAATGCCCGCTTACCAAATGGTCGTTTCCTTCCGCCATTGTTTAACTTCAAACCTCACGGTAAGGAATAGTTGAGAAGAAAAAAAAACATACATTTTCTTTGAAATAAACTTTTTCGTGTATTGTTAAAGATGTATGATTGATATAACAATGGTGATGTTATCGTGTCCATCAGAACTGAAGGGTGTTCCGGTGGAGATATCGGTGAAGCTGATTCCGGAGCATGCAAGAAAGCAATGTCCATCTCTTGGATTGTGATTTTGATGCAAAAGTGTATTACTGTCATGATGTTTTGTTTATCAATGCAGCTGATTGTCGTTGCATGCATGCATGTTATGTTGTTGAGTCATCTTTATGTAAAAGCAGACAGATTTAGACATGATCTTCCCACTTTTATATATTTGTAGAGATTGTAACATCCATGGGAGATGATGGACACCAACTTATGCCTTCTTTCATATCTTGCTTGTATTTTTGTTTTCTTTTTTCTGAAAAATGTACGTAGATTGCATTAGTCATGCAAATATATATATTTTCTGAATAATCATAAGTTAAATATATCGATGACCTGATGAGTAACAAGGTTTTATCCGTCAAATGTCACGTGTCACAATTTGATAATTTAAAATTTATTTTTTTAAAAATATTATTATATTTATAAAAAAAACCTTAATTTCTATTAGATTACAAAAAAGTCTCAAAATCCCTAAAATCCTCAAATCCTAACACTAAACCACCATCGTCACCCTTTCCAGCTACTACCATCGTCGCCAACGTAGTTTCTGTCATCGTCTTAGTTATATGTTGTCGTAGTTATCGTCAGAATCATATGGGATCACGATTTTCATCATAGGGTTCGCAGAGTATAAAATGTCGATTCACAACCGATTGACAGTCGACAGGTCACGATTTCGTAGGGATTTTGGTCCACAGCTGGAGGTGAGGTCGGGTGGAGTTTTATCGACGACAAAGGGCGACGGTCGGCGTAAGTTTAGGTGTTGAAATGAAGGTTTTCAATGTTTTAGGCGTATTTCGAAATTTGTGTTCTCTTTTTAAAAAGTATATAATTTCTTTTTAAAAAAATATTACTAAATATATTATAAGATTGTAACACTTGTCACTTAACGGGGGAAATTAACGTCGTTGATAGTTAGGGCAATTAAAGTGATAACGTTTATAACGTTAGTCACCTAAATGGTCCAAAAAATACTGTTGGCACCTATTCGAGAAAAAATGTATAATTTGAATACTTATTTAGGTATTAAGCGTTTAATTTAGGTATTCGAGAATATATATATATATATATATCTCGGAGTCTTGTGTTTTAAGGTTTGTTTTCACCAACTTTCAATTCTTTAAATTTATTTATTACTTAGTTTATCTATTATGGTTTTATCAAATCTTAGCTAAATCTTCTTTCCATGATCCAAACCCCATAACTAAGGTCAAAGATCTTATGATGAAGCACCAGGAATACTTACTAAAATTGAAATTCCATTCATGAAAACATATGATGTTCCAGGAATAATTAATTGATCTAAACATAAATAAAAAATGCTGTTGATGGTTGGCTTGCATTGCAGCATTCAACTAGACAGCATGAATCAAATCATCGGCTCTCCAAATACCACCCAACGGAAGTTCAGTCCAAATCCTGTCGCACTTTGCTGCCTCAACACACTTACGGTAGAGTCTCGACCGCCTTGGAGATGTGCTGCCATAAAATCTAACTTCGGGGTGCATCAAAGTACCAGAAGCGAATATGGTATTTGCTATTATATTTGCTTCCCCCACTGCTGGAACAGAGAAAGAAGTGCACCCGATAAACAACACCCGGTTATTCAAATCATTTTCATAAACCCAATTCATCTTTGCAAAATCAAGCTTAAGGAGTTCCAGAGATGAGCTATCAGACAACAGTTGCAGATCTGCACCAGACACAATGAGTTTAGCATAATGCACACTACTTCGTGAGAGTGGACAATGATCAACGAGTGGACAATGATCAACCAGAATAGTCCACCCTTTAAGTTCAACATTGAAGGCACCCAATTGACCTCCTCTAAAAACACAATAGAAAACTCCGTTGGTATAGGCAGCATCAATAGCACGATTAAACCGATCAAAACCATCAAACTCAAAAGTCTTCCATGAACAATCACCGGCAGAACATAACTTAATACAAATTTTTCCATTTTCACTCCACAAAAGAAAGATGGTACATTTTGGGGATGTTGCATTCAAGGCAAACGACGCCACCTGAAATGTGGGAGGTCCCCCTAAATACGGAAGCCTAATTACCCACCCATATAAAGAAGCACAAGGTCGTGCATCAAGGAAAAGTAGATACTCTAGTCCTCTGCTCCTTTCTTCGACAAGGTACTCTCTTGAAAGAGGGTCCAGCAGCCGGCACTCACCTTGTATTAGATACAAAGAGGCATAACGCCAACAAAATTTCATTGCCCAGGGGAGTTCACCAATAGCAGGACTACAAGTGTTTGGGACTGACCAAGCCTTGCAAACTGCTCGTATCCGGCTTCGATCTAACCAACGCAAACGTCCAATTATACGTTCAAGGATGTCGAGGGGGAGATCCGACCAATTGGGCCCATGTCTACTCAGTCACCGCCTCTTTGAAATCCGTTTTTCCTTAAAATTTCTCGTACCAGTCGTAGTCATCTCTCCTATTGAGATAATTTCTGAGGATTTTCAAGGAAATGAGCAAGACTAATAGGAAGATGAGGCTAATCAGTGAAAGGCAGGAACGGCGGCTGGAGCCGGACTGATTGCAAGGGGTTCTTCTCTTGACAACTGTCCTAATTTGTTGGATGATTCTTTGGGTTTCAATGGGCTATGGTTTTTTATGCGTTTGACTTTAACTAGACAACAAACCAGACTTGAGATACAGTTTAAACGTGTTGGATGACTTGTGCAGACATCACCCATCCAAACTTATACAACTGAAATTGTTTTGCCCCTCTTTTTGAAGAGAGAAAATAGCACAAAGCAAAGAGGCGCCAAGATTGCAGACACCAAAATCCAATTTAATGCAGCCGAGCAGCCCCGCTAGGCCTGAAAATATTATGGCATAAAGGCAACATAATTAAATATATGATCGTCTAGATTAGGGAGTAACTAATTTGTACAAGGCAGTTAAGGGGGAAAAGCTTCATAGAAAACATATAAAGATATTTCACTTGACAAAATATACAACATTTGTACAATACTAGCAATTAAAAAAATCAAAATCAACCATTCTCCTTTCAGGTTGTGTTGTTACAGACCAGACTGTTATAATAGGTCAGGGGAGACGGAGAACTAATCTCATACAATACAGCTATGCTCAGGTAATAGTGCAGCTATGAACTGAAATTACTCGACAGAGTAAGGAAGGTGAGGTATTAGTCGTGCATGTAACCAAAGTGTGATCAAGTGACTCGTAGTTGACAGGCAAGAGACGAAAGGTGGAAATTTAAGCCAGTTAAAACCTCCCAATCCCAAATCCTAATTAAAACATGCAAAATAAAACAAAAAATACAAAAATAATACTTAACAAAAGTAGATGGAAGGAATTGATTTACCATTGATGATTTTGGGGAGGTACTCTGAATTTCAAGATGGCTGTAAAAGGGGCTGCTTCTGGAAAGCTAAACCTGCAGTTTCGGAAATAATAATAATAAAAAAAATGGAAATTTGGGGAAGTTAAATCAATCACTCGAACAAAACTCGCACTTTGTGTTGGGAGCTTTGGATTAGAGGTATGAATGGTGGACCGGCACCGAAGCGAACCGCCGATTAAGGCTCATTGAGTATTGAAATCGCCCTACCCATGAAACACCTATAAATTAAGAACAAAGACAAGGAAGTCTAGCTTTGCGGCGGAGTAGAAATGAAGGTTTACGGCTGCACCAATTAGGGTTCAAATGAAATAAACAAAAGAATACCAAACTTTATTTGTTGGGTTGAAACTGCCCTACCCACGAAACAACTATAAATTAAGAACAAAGACAAGGAAGAAGCTTTGCGGCGGAGGAGAGACAAATGCAGAAATTTTGGGAGAATTTATACAAAACTTGCATAAGATAAAACTCCAACTTAATATTAGAAAATTTCTAAAATATTGATTTTATTATTAAACCAAAATCATTTGTAGAATTTAGAATCTCTTAAAATATTGATTAAAAGTAATAAAAAATAACATCAATTTTTTATAATTGATCTAAATATATAATTAATTTTAATTTTAATTAAATATTATTTATATTAACTATATAATAATTATTTAACTCAATATAGTGATTAAATAATAATTTATGTTTTATGTTCCAAGTTCTATTTTTAGGCATAATTAGAATGGGTATAGGTTGGGTTGGATCGGGTTTTCGATCAACCCGAGAAAAATACATTTTCCATCTAAAATTTGATTCAACCCTAGTTTATGGTGAGTCCACCCGACCTAAAACCCGACTAGTCTTTTAAAATAAAACATGTATTTGATCCAATAGATAAAAAAACTCTTAACGTTTGACTAAATAGTCACTTTGACCTTATTCTTTTTTGAGCATTTTGACAAACTAATGTTTAATAATTAAGACAAAATATTCATATTTTGGAATATTAATTGTTTGTTGACTTTGATTATCATTCATTGAGAGACTTTTTTATCCCAAAATGAAATATTAGAGGCCAAAATACTTTAAAATATAAATACCAAAGTAACTACTTAATCAAATAATACAAATATTTTTTTAATATTATGTCTTTATTTTACAATCTTGTATCGATCATAGTTTAATTTAAATAATATTATTAGTGAATTAATGTGGTTAGTAAATAATATATTGTAACTTTGAGTAGATGATGAAGTATGGACGAGGGTGATGTAATTGAATTTTTTTAAGAAAAGGTGGACCCAATAGAAAATGATTTGTATAGTAATTCTCCCACCTAACTGTATCTATGAAGTAATAGAAAATATTTTCTGCTTCTCCAAACTCAACCAAAAAAACCTTTGTTTTCTCTGTAAAAGCAAAAAAAAAATCCAAGAATGCTTTCTTTTAGATCCATTTTTCACTTGCAAAATGCAAACCACTTAGATCACTAAAATCTCCCTAGTGTTCTCATTTTAATAAATAAATTAAAATTATTTTATACATAATCTCGTATTCTTTTAATTAAATATGTATATACATATTCTTATTTATGTGTTAAATAACGTTATATTTTGAAAACCAAACACCAATTTACATTACAAATAAAGTTTAGGTACTAAAACAAAATAAAGGTAGTAGTTTATGTGCTAAATATAGAATTTATCAAATTCATTAATATTTTATGCGAGGGGCGAAGATAAGCTGTCTTCTTCTTGAGCTGCATTTAACAGAATTTTTTTTGGCTAAACACACTACCCTGACTCATTTCGATTTTCATCACCGTGATTCTCCCCCTGCATTTTTAAAGGAGCTTCTTCATCGAGATATTGCAGGTCCTACTTATTGTAACAACTAACCTCGTCCAGTTCTCTCTCTTCCAATTCAAAAAAAAACAAAAATTATCGTGTCTTTTTTTTGGGTTCTCATGCTCTATTAGCAAAACCTTAAAAATCATGTTTCCAGAAAAAGTCTCGAATAATTTATCTTGCACCGGCCAGAAGTGTTTATCAGCTCAATCCATCGTACCACTAAATTTCTTTGGGTTTTTGAGGATGAGAAGATGGTATACCGGGAAGTTAGCTTTGTCCCTGGTCTGTTGCAAATTTTTGACGAAATTTTGGTTAATGCTGCGGATATTAAATGGCGTTATCCATCTATGAATTCTATTATGGTAAGCATTGATGTGCCACTAAATGTGGTATCTGTTTATAACAATGGTGAGGGTATTCCGGTTGAGGAAGAAAGAGTTTTTGTGCCGGAAATATGTTTTGGTAAGCTTTTGACGGGACGGGAAGTAATTTCGACGACGATGTCAAAAGGATAAGAGGTGGAAGATATGATTTTGGAACGTATATTACAAATACATTTTTTACTGAATTTGTCGTGGAGACCGTTGATGGAAAATGAAGGAAGCATTATAAACAGATAATTTTATTTTAATTGTTGAAGTTAATTTTGTTTTAGTAATTTATTTGGTAATAGAACGTTGAATTGTTATAATTGTATAAATTTCTTTTTGAAATATGAACTCAGTCTATTCTATCTATGGAAGACGTTTAAGATTTGAAGAGAGAACTAAGCTTGTATATCGGTATAAAGGTTTAAATGGAGGAGTTAAGCTTTTATATTAGTATAAATGTTGTAACAGATTATGATAATTTTGTTTTCATTCCTTGTTTTGACTATGTATATAGTTTATATTTTAGTTAACAAAGTAAAATTTTAAATTTATATCTTGTAACAGAAGTTCATAGACAATATGCGGCTAAAGACTATATCTATTATTGAAGAATGTGGTGAAGAGGAAAATTGGACCAGAATTACATTTAAGCTATAAACTTTGCTAAATTTAATATGATTGAATTGAAAAACGATGTGATTGCATTGATAAAAAAAGAGTATTCGACTTAGCTGCTTGTCTTGGTAGCAATGTAGATGTCAAATTCAATTAACAGTCTTGAAAATTCATTTATCAAATATGTAGACTATTACCTTAAAGTTGTCTCTAAACCAGAGGTCGAACCCCTCTTAAGGTATTATAAATTTTATTTGACTCGTTTATACTTGATGTTACACAAAAAGGTTAATTTATTTAAAATATTTATTATTTCAACTTGCATGAGAAAGTTGATAAAGGGAGGTGTGAAGTTTGTGTGAGTTTCAATGAATGACAGTTTCAACATGTATTTTTTTCATTCATTTAAAATTTTCAATCATTTATAATGAGAGATTGAAAACTACAAATGAATGGAAAAAAAATAACTGTTGAAACTGTCCTTTAATAAAACTCGCACAAACTTCCTACCTCCCATTATCAACTTTTTTAAACAAGCTGAAATAACAAATATTTTAAATCAATCAACTCTTTTGTGTAACATTCAGTATAAACGAGTCAAATAAAATTTATAATACATTAAGAGGGGTTCGACCTATGTTCTAGAGACAACTTTAAGGTAATAGTCCACATATTTGATAAATGAATTTTTAAGACTATGTCCATTAAATTTGACCTCTACATTACTACTAAGACAAACAGCTAAGTCGAATACTCTTTTTTTCTTCAATGCAATCACATCTTTTTCCAATTCAATCATAATAAATTTAACTTAGTATGACTTAAATGTAATTCTGATCCAATTTTCCTCTTCACCACATTTTTCAATAATAAGTCTAATCTTTAGCCGCATATTATCTGTGAACTTTTGTTACAAGATATAAATTTAAATTTAAAATTTTACTTTGTTAACTAAAATATAAATCATATACACAATCAAAATAAGAAATGAAAACAAAATTATCCTAATCTGCTACAACATTTATACTAATATAAAAGCTTAGCTCTTCCCTTCAAACCTTTATACCGATATACAAGCTTAGTCTCTCTCTTTAAACCTTAAACGTCTTCCATAGATAGAATAGACTGAGTTCATATTTCAAAAAAAAAAATTATATTAGTATAACAATTCAACTTTCTATTACCAAATAAATTACTAATATAAAATTAACTTTAACAATTAAAATAAAATTACCTGTTTATAATGCTTCCTTCGTTTTCCATCAACAGTCTCCACGACAAACTCAGTCGAAAATATATTTGTAATATTCGCTCCAAAACCATATCTTCCACCTCTGATCCTTTTGACATCGTCGTCGAAATTACTTCTCGTCTCGTCAAAAGCTGACCAAAACATATTTTCGGCACGAAAACTCCTTCCTCCTCAACCGAAATACCCTCACCATTGTTATAAACAGATATCAAATTTAGTGGCACATCAATGCTTACCATAATAGAATTCATAAATGGACAACGCCATGTAATATCCGCAGCATTAACCAAAATTTCGTCAAAAATTTGCAACAGACTAAGGACAAAGCTAACTTCCCGGTATATCATCTTTTCATCCTCGAAAACCCAAAGAAATTTAATGGTACAATGGATTGAGCTGATAAACACTTCTGGCTGGTGCAAGATAAATTGTTCGATATTTTTTCAAGAAAACATAATTTTTAAGATTCTGCTAATAGAGCATGAGAACCCAAAAAGAAAGACACGGTAATTTTTGTTCTTTTTTGAATTGGAAGAGAGAACTAGACGAGGTTAGTTGTTACAATAAGTATGACCTTCAATATCTCGGTGAAAAAGCTCTTTTAAAAAGGCAGGGGGAGAATCACGGTGATGAAGATCGAAATGAGTCTTAGTGTGTTTAGCCAGAACTTTTTTCTGTTAAATGCAGCTCAGAAAGAAGAAAGCTTATCTCCGCCTTGGTTTTAAAATGCGGGATGCGCTCTGATGCGTTTAGTTCTCGGGAGTCGATGCGTAATGCGTGATGCGTGATGCGCTCGCATCACGAACCTGATGCGCCAATTTTCACAAAAAAATACTTTTGAACTAATTTTATATCTTATAAATACTTGTATATCAAAAATACTTCAATTAATATCAAAAGTAGTTTAATAGTACTTCATAAATGTTGAATAACATAATAGACAAGTACGCGTAGGAAAATCAAAACAACCAAAAGACAAATCAACAATAGCCCCCACTTCCCTTTCCCCCACTAAGTTCTCCAAACTTTCTCTAGTCACAAACTAAATGTCTCCAAGATCCACATCATCAAACCCGAGCACGTCTCCATCTCCCTCATCATCATCAGTCACTTCAATGTCTTCCTCCATCTCATCTTCATCAACAAGAACGAGTCTTTTTCCTTTATCATTTCTTGATGGGCCGACCCCATCATCACCTCCTCTTCTTGATCCTCTAGTGAAATGACTTTGCTCATTAGTCCCGGAAGCTCTACCCACCGCATCCCATGTAAGATCATCATCAAGAAACACTAAATCTTCTTTATCTTAAAATAACTAAATTAAGAGATCAAAATTTAACCTGAACTATAGTGTGAATCCATATGGTTGAATTAATGCGAAGAACTACTTCAACCGAGTAGTGCATCGAAACGCATGCCCATTATCAAACAGAAAAAGATCCGTTACTAAGCCCGCCCAAGAGTCCGAGGCACGCGTCACATCCTCATCAACTAACATCCATGCAAAGCTGCTCAACCTCAACATCCCTCTTTCATCATCTTACACTCCGTTTTACCCTTCTTTTGTTGATCTCTTTCATTGTACGATCAGGGCTTTTCATCAAGTCGAATGATCAAAAGAAACCCATGACTCAGAAGCTGTACGAGTCAGCTCCATCATCTCGGCAGGCGGCCAAGTTTTTCTCAGTGCACGTTGCTCTTGTCAGGGTTAACCTTGACCGGGACTGTGGCAGCCAAGATTTTACTAAACGCCCAAAAAAAATTTAAACGCGTCGGTCCGCATCAGACCGCATCAACCGCATCGGATCGCATCAGACCGCATTACATACCCCCTACTGCATCAGGCTGCCAGATGCGCTTTGACCATCGCAACGGCCGCATCACGCATCAAGCGCGCCTGATGCGCGCTTTTTTAAACCAAGATCTCCGCGGCTCCGCCCCTCGCATAAAATATTAATGAATTCGGTAAATTTTATATTTATCGCCTAAACTACTACCTTTATTTTATTTTAGTACCTAAATTTTATTTGTAATGTAAATTGGTTTGTTTTCAAAATATAACATTATATTTAAAATAAGTTTTTTAAAATATAACGTTATTTAACACATAAATAAGAATATGTAGATACATATTTAATTAAAATAATACAAGATTATGTAGAAGATAATTTTAACAATCTTTTTTTAATTCATAGAACTAATTCATTATATTATCTAAATTTTATAAAAAGTTTACATTCGACATATTAAATATAACTAGACTATTAAAAAATATATAAAAGTATTACACAGATTGTATTTATTTTTTTCATCATATATGATAAGACTTTAAGTTAACTTTTAAGGATTAAAAATAATTATTTAAGTTATACTAAAAATATATATTTTAGAGTTGGGAACTCGCCTTAAATGATGATCAAGCTTTCTAATGAGTGTAGAATTCAAAAGTAACGAACTATCAATATTTTAAGTTTTAATACATAAATTATCGAACAAAATTCGAGTTAATTAAGTAATTTATAATAATTTCATTATTGTAATTACCAATTTTCAAATACAGAATAATAAAAAAGGTCAAGGCAGACTTACCCTGCTGCACACCATCCCGGTTGAAGCTCACCATGCCCTGCCTGCTCAGCTGCTGTCAAGCCCCAGCTGCTGCCACGCACGCCACCAAGCCGCTACAGCAGCCACTCCATCACCAAAAGACAAAGCCACGTCAGGATTTTAATTTTTTAAGGCTAATATCTACTGTAAAACGGATATAAAACCCAAACAAAAACAATGTAAAACGACAATTCTTCTGGAATAAAAAAAGGAACCGAAAAATTCCAAACTCAAAGGTATTTAGCCACTGCCGTTCTATTTTTCATTCTGGGCATGCATGCTGGGTTTTGTCATTCGAATGTATGCTAATAAAAAGGAAAGATGAAGAACTTATCTTGACTGTCGTGTTTCGTCGGAGGTAGAGGGGCTGTCAGGGAGATTCTTCTGGCTGGTTTTGGGTCTGTTTTGGCCATCGTGGATGTTGGTCGGCTCTAGGGGTCGGTCACGGTTAAACCGATCAAAACCATCAAACTCAAAAGTCTTCCATGAACAATCACCGGCAGAACATAATACAAAATTTTCCATTTTCACTCCACAAAAGAAAGATGGTACATTTTGGGGATGTTGCATTCAAGGCAAACGTCGCCCCCTGAAATGTGGGAGGTCCCCCTAAATACGGAAGCCTAATTACCTCAGTTGTTAACGGAGAGTACAAAAAGAGGGACTCTTTTCTTTCTGCAATAAAGCCGTACACTTTGAAAAGAACCCACCCATATAAAGAAGCACAGGTCGTGCCTTACGGAAAAGTAGATACTCTAGTCCTCTGCTCCTTTCTTCGACAAGGTACTCTCTGGAAAGGGGGTCCAGCAGCCGGCACTCACCTTGTATTAGATACAAAGGGGCATAACGCCAACAAAATTTCATTGCCCAGGGGAGTTCACCAATAGCAGGAATACAAGTGTTTGGGACTGACCAAGCCTTGCAAACTGCTGGTATCCGGCTTTGATCTACCCAACGCAAACGTCCAATTATACGTTCAAGGATGTCGAGGGGGAGATCCGACCAATTGGGCTCATGTCTACTCAGTTGCCGCCTCTTTGAAATCCGTTTTTCCTTAAAATTTCTCGTACCAGTCGTAGTCATCTCTCCTATTGAGATAATTTCTGAGGATTTTCAAGGAAATGCGCAAGGCTATTAGGCCTGAAAATAGCACAAAGCAAAGAGGCGCCAAGATTGCAGACACCAAAATCTAATTTAATGCAGCCGAGCAGCCCCGCTAGTCCTGAAAATATTATGGCATAAAGGCAACATAATTAAATATATGATCGTCTAGATTAGGGAGTAACTAATTTTTACAAGGCAGTTAAGGGGGAAAAGCTTCATAGAAAACATATAAAGAGATTTCACTTAAAAAAATATACAGCATTTGTACAATACTAGGAATTAAAAAAAAATCAAAATCAACCATTCTCCTTTCAGGTTGTGTTGTTACAGACCAGACTGTTATAACAGGTCAGGGGAGACGGAGAACTAATCTCATACAATACAGCTATGCTCAGGCAATATTGCAGCTATGAACTGAAATTACTCGACAGAGTAAGGAAGGTGAGGGATTTTTTTCTCCTATTAAAAATACTATCTTTACAAGTATGCCAAGCACATCATGACTAGAATTCAAACACATTTTCCTCGTCTTATTGGACATAAATTGAAGCAATTTATGCAGTAGGAAGAAACTAAAATGCAGTTATCACTTCTAAGTGATAAGTTGCTAACTAGCAGTTCCCAAAAACTTGAACAAATAGTTGAGAAAATGCATAAACCCAAGCAATATATACGATTAAAAACACTGCATTTTATCCTCAGGCAACCAAAGAAATTCACCAAGCTCAGCTGGAAAAAAACACTGCATTTTATCCAAGTAAGATTGAACTTTGCAGTATAAACGATTAAAACTAAAATTGAAATACCATTCATCAAAACATATGATGTTCCAGCAATAATTACTTTCGGCAGAAAACACAATTGATCTAACCAAAAGTCATGTTGTACTGTGCTGCCTCAACACATTTACGGTAGAGTCGCGACCTACTTGGAGATGTGCTGGCGTAAAATATGTTATTTGCTAATAGACTTGTTCCCCACTGCTGCAGCAGAGAGATGTGCACTGGATAAATAACACAAGGTTATTCAAATCATTTTCATAATCATAATCCATGATTGAAAAACAAAGCTTAAGCATGAAATGGAGAGTAATGAAGTTAGTGATGAATCTGCTGTTATGATCTACACAGCAAGGGCTGCAGAGCAAGCAGCATTGATGAACCTTGAGTATCTAAGGAAGGAAGCCGATATGAATAGCCGAAAAGAAAGTACGAAGACCGAAGATCTCGTTTCAACACAAGTAGCAAACAGAGTTGAGGAGAATGAAACTGCAAGCAGATCAATCGTCAAGGCAATTGACCTTTCTCAATTGGAATAACAAAATACAAAGAAACCAAGTCTTCATTCCATCCTCGTATTCCTGAACCTCCCTTAACTCTGGTACTTTCGAGTTATTTAGAGCTCTCTTCGTTGTCGAAGAGCTTTCTGCCGCTGGTATTATCTACAACAATAACCATGAAAACTACAATACAAATCCAGTTCATTCAATAGATAAAGTATTCTCAGCAACCAATTTCAGAATAAATTTGTCTCTAATATTCAAAATTCCGTGTCATTTATGCCTATTTATACATCATACGATTCTTAAAATTTCTCGTACCAGTCGTAGTCATCTCTCCTATTGAGATAATTTCTGAGGATTTTTCAAGGAAATGAACAAGACTATTAGGAAGATGAGGCTAATCAATGAAAGACAGGAACGGCGGCTGGAGGCGGACTGGTTACAAGGGGTTCTTCTCTTGACAACTGTCCTAATTTGTTGGATGATTCTTTGGGTTTCAATGGGCTATGTTTTTTTATGCGTTTGACTTTAACTAGACAATCAAACCAGACTTGAGATACAGTTTCAAACGTGTTGGATGACTTGTGCAGACATCACCCATACAAACTTACACAACTGAAAATGTTTTTCCCCCTCTTTTTTTTTTTTTGATAGGAACAGAATGCCTCTTTAAAAACCTCCCTCATAGTAGTTCTCAGCCCTAAGACTAGAACCAACTAGCGGAAGGAGGAAAAGAGTGCATCAGTTTATTGATAATAACCAGTTACATAAGCCTTAAGAACAGTCTTTCAAACTACATAGAACATAAAACATAGAACACTCCTATATGACCTTTCCTGTAAAACTTACGAACCAAACAAAACAACATAATAAATCACCCAATTCCTTCCTTTGCTAGCTTATCCGCCTCTGAGTTACAGCATCTAGGAATCCACCTAACAATAACCTGTTTAGTAGAAACAGTAGAAGCAATTTCCTTGACAAGATTTGACATGAAAACAGGGACTATCGCTTGGTCTTTTATCCAATCCGCTGCTATCTTTGAATCACTTTCAATAATTAGTCTGCCTTTCGAAGCCCATTGTGAAGAAACAAATAGATCAATGCCTTTTTTGATAGCTTTCAACTCAGCTAGAATGGTAGAAGTAGGACCTACAGATTCTGCAAATGAGACAAGTGTAACCCGATTCCAATCTCTGAGGATACCCCCTATTCCAGGAGGGGGATTCCAGCAGTTCCCCATCCTGTTCAGGTCTTTGAACACTTTTAGATTATCCACCAAAGAAGGGTCAACAATTAAAGAATCCACCTGAATAGAGATTAGGGGATACTTTGCTATATACCATTTGGCTAACCTTAACCGAACCGTGAGAAACAATGATAATCTATCCAACTCTTTTTTCCAAAAATAATCTCATTTCTCATCTTCCAAATTGACCAAAAGACTACCCCGGAATAAACTTCCATATAGCAGATTTAGGATTCATATCAGCCCAAGAACTGAGCAGAGATGGAGGGTCTTGCGGAAGAGCTTGTCGGATACCCCAGAATCCTATAATCTTATTCCACAGTTCCCACGTAACTTGACAAGAAATAAAAAGATGCTGGATTGTTTCATCCCCTTGGTTACATAGAGGGCAGAGAATATTACCCCCTAAAGGAACCCCTCTTCTCAACAATTCAACTCTAACCGCAACTTTTTTGTGGAACAACTGCCAAAGGAAAGATTCTACTCTAGGAGGAACTAAACCCAACCATACATATTTACTCCATTGAAACGTTACATCGTTAGATATAGAAAGAGCTTTCTTGCATGCTTTAACAGAAAACAACCCCACATCCGACACATTCCACAGCAGACAATCTTCCAAAAACTCGGAAAGTTTAACATTTTTCAACCTATCCAACAGCTGTACCAACTGTTCCCCTCTTTTTGAAGAGAGAAAATAGCACAAAGCAAAGAGGCGCCAAGATTGCAGTCACCAAAATCCAATTAAATGTAGCCCTGCTGGGCCAGAAAAAATTATGGCATGAAGGCAACATAATTAAATATATGATCGTCTAGATTAGGGAGTAACTAATTTGTACAAGGCAATTAAGGGGGAAAAGCTTCATAGAAAACATATAAAGAGATTTCACTTAAAAAATATCCAGCATTTGTATAACACTAGCAATTAAAAAAATCAAAATCAACCATTCTCCTTTCAGGTTGTGTTGCTACAGACCAGACTGAGGTCAGGGAGACGGAGAACTAATCTCATATAATACAGCTATGCTTAGGCGATAGTGCAGCTATGAACTGAAATTACTCGACAGAGTAAGGAAGGTTAGGGATTAGTCGTGCATGTAACAAAAGTGTGATCAAGTGACCCGTAGTTGACGGGAAAGAGACGAAAGGTGCAAGACGTCTAATATTTGATTAAATAGTCATTTAGTTTCTTTTTTTCTTTGAGCATTTTAGGTAAAAAAATCCTAACGTTTGACTAAATAGTCACTTTGACCTTATTCTTTTTTGAGCATTTTGACCAACTAATGTTTAATATTTAAGACAAAATATTCACATTTTGGCATAATATTATTATTTTTTGAGCATTTTGACCAACTAATGTTGACTGACTTTTTTATCTAAAAATGAAATATTAGAGGCCAAAATACTCTAAAATATAAAGACCAAAGTAACTACTTAATCAAATAATACAAATATTTTTTAATATTATGTCTTTATTTTACAATCTTGCATCGATCATAGTTTAATTTAAATAATATTATTAGTGAATTAATGTGGTTAGTAAATAATATATTGTAACTTTGAGTAGATGATGAAGTATGGACGAGGGTGATGTAATTGAATTTTTTTAAGAAAAGGTGGACCCTATAGAAAATGATTTGTATAGTAATGAAGTAATAGAAAATATTTTCAGCTTCTCCAAACTCAACCAAAAATACCCTTTTTTTCTTCGTAAAAGCAAAAAAAAAAAAAAAAAAGTGCTTTCTTTTGGATCCATTTCTCTCTCCATTTTTCACTTGCAAAATGCAAACCACTTAGATCACTAAACTCTCCCTAGTGCTCTCATTTCAATAAATTAAAATTATCTTATACATAATCTCGTATTCTTTTAATTAAATATGTATATACATATTTTTATTTATGTGTTAAATAACATTACATTTTAAAAAACTTATTTTTAAATATAATGTTATATTTTGAAAACCAAACATCAATTTACATTACAAATAATGTTTAGGCACTAAAACAAAATAAAGGTAGGTTTGGGTGCTAAATATAGAATTTACCAAATTCATTAATATTTTAAGCGAGAGGCGGAGCCACGGAGATAAGTTGTCTTCTTCCTGAGCTGCATTTAACAGAAAAAAGTTTTTTTTAAACACACTACCCTGACTCATTTCGATCTTCATCACCGTGATTCTCTCCTGCCTTTTTAAGGGAGCTTCTTCACCGAGATATTAAAGGTCCTACTTATTGTAACAACTAACCTCGTCTAGTTCTCTCTCTTCCAATTTAAAAAGAACAAAAAATTATTGTATCTTTCTTTTTGAGTTATCATGCTCTATTAACAGAATCTTAAAAATTATGTTTTCTAGAAAAAGTCTCAAACAGTTTATCTTGCACTGGCAGAAGTGTTTATCAGTTCAATCCATCGTACCACTAACTTTCTTTGGTTTTTGAGGATGAGAATATGATATACCGGGAAGTTAGCTTTGTCCCTGATCTGTTGCAAATTTTTGACGAAATTTTGGTTAATGCTACGGATATTAAATGGTATTGTCCATCTATGAATTCTATTATGGTAAGCATTGATTTGCCACTAAATTTGGTATCTGTTTATAACAATAGTGATGGTATTCCGGTTGAGGAGGAAGAAGGAGTTTTTGTGCCGGAAATATGTTTTTGAGAGCTTTGGACGGGATGCAATTTCGACGACGATGTCAAAAGGATCAAAAGTGGAAGATATGGTTTTGGAGCGAATATTACAAATATATTTTTGACTGAGTTTGTCATGGAAACCGTTGATAGAAAACGAATAAAGCATTATAAACAGGTAATTTTATTTTAATTGTTAAAGTTAATTTTATCTTAGTAATTTATTTAATAATAGAACGTTGAATTTTTATACTAGTGTAAATTTCTTTTTGAAATATGAACTCAGTCTATTCCATCTATGGAAAACGTTTAAGGTTTGAAGAGAGGAACTAAGCATGTATATCGATTTGAAGGGAGGAGCTAAGCTTTTATATTAGTATAAATGTTGTAGCAGATTATGATAGTTTTGTTTTCATTTCTTATTTTGACTGTGTATATAGTTTATATTTTAGTTAACAAAGTAAAATTTTAAATTTATATCTTGTAACAGAAATTCATAGGCAATATACGGCTAAAGACTATACCTATTATTGAAGAATGTGGTGAAGAGAAAAATTGGACCAGAATTACATTTAAGCTAAACTAAGCTAAATTTAATATGATTTAATTGAAAAACGATGTGATTGCATTGATGAAAAAAAGAGTATTCAACTTAATTGCTTGTCTTGGTAGCAATATAGATGTCAAATTCAATTGACAGTCTTGAAAATTCATTTATAAAATATATAGACTATTACTTTAAAGTTGTCTCTAAACCAGAGGTTGAACCCCTCTTAAGGTATTATAAATTTTGTTTAACTCGTTTATACTTGATGTTACACGTTGATTTATTTAAAATATTTGTTATTTCAGCTTGCATGAGAAAATTGATAATGAGAGGTGAGTTTCAGTGAAGGACAATTAAAACATGTATTTTTTTCATTCATTTAAAATTTTCAATCATTTATAATGGGAGATTGAAAACTACAAATGAATGCAAAAAAATAACTATTGAAACTGCACTTTACTAAACCTCACACAAACTTCCAAACTCTCATTATTAACTTTCTTAAGCAAACTAATATAATTAATATTTTAAATGAATCAACTTTTTTGTGTAACATCTAATATAAACGAGTCAAATAAAATTTATAATATATTAAGAGGAGTTCGGCCTATGTTTTAGAGACAACTTTAAGGTAATAGTCCACATATTTAATAAATAAATTTTCAAGACTATATCCATTGAATTTGACCTCTACATTACTACTAAGACAAGCAGCTAAGTTGAATACTCTTTTTTCATCAATCCAATCACATCTTTTTCCAATTCAATAATAATAAATTTAATTAAATCTGACTTAAATATAATTATAGTACAATTTTTCTATTCACCACATTTTTCAATAATAAATCTAGTCTTTAGCAGCATATTGTCTGTGAATTTTTGTTACAAGATATAAATTTAAAATTAAAATTTTACTTTGTTAACTAAATATAAATCATATACACAGTCAAAATAAAAAAAGAAAACAAAATTATCCTAATTTGTTATATCATTTATACTAATATAAAAGCTTAGTTTCTCCCATCAAACCTTTATACCGATATACAAGCTTAGTTCATCTCTTTAAACCTTAAAAGTCTTCAATAAATTGAATAAACTGAGTTCATATTTCAAAAAGAAATTTATACTAGTATAACAATTTAACGTTCTATTACCAAATAAATTACTAATATAAAATTAACTTCAACAATTAAAATAAAATTATTTGTTTATAATGTTTCATTCATTTTCCATCAACGGTCTCTACGACCAACTTAGTCGAAAATATATTTGTAATCTTCACTCCAAAACCATATCTTTCACCTCTGATCATTTTGAAATCGTCGTCGAAATTACTTCTCGTCTCTTCAAAAGCTGACCAAAACATATTTTCGACACGAAAACTTCTTCCTCCTCAACCAGAATACCCTCACCATTATTATAAACAGATACCAAATTTAGTGACACATCAATGCTTACCATAATAGAAATTATAGATGGCATACATCATTTAATATCCGCAGAATTAACCAAAATTTCATCAAAAATTTACAACAGACCAAGGACAAAGCTAACTTCCCGGTATACCATATTCTCATCCTCAAAAATCCTAAAGAAATTTAGTAGTACGATGAATTAAGCTGATAAACACTTCTGGACGGTGCAAGATAAATTGTTCGAGACTTTTTTTGGAAAACATGATTTGTAAGGTTCTGCTAATAGAGCATGAGAACCTAAAAAGAAAGACACGGTAATTTTTGTTATTTTTTGAATTGGAAGAGAGATAACTAGACGAGGTTAGTTGTTACAATAAGTAGGACTTTCAATATCTCGTTGAAGAAGCTCCTTTAAAAAGGCAGGGGGAGAATTACAGTGATGAAGATCGAAATGAGTCTGAATAATGTGATTAGCCAAAACTTTTTTCTGTTAAATGCAGCTCAGAAAGAAGACAGCTTATCTTCGCGGCCCCGCCCCTCGCATAAAATATTAATGAATTTGGTAAATTCTATATTTAACGCCTAAACTACTACCTTTATTTTATTTTGATACCTAAACTTTATTTGTAAAGTAAATTGGTGTTTGATTTTCAAAATATAACATTATATTTAAAAATAAATTTTTTAAAATATAACGTTATTTAACACATACTTAAGAATATGTAGATATATATTTAATTAAAATAATACAATATTATGAAGAAGATAATTTTAATTTATTTATTAAATTATCCCTGTTAAATATTTTCTTCTTTAACAATCTTTTTTTAATTCATAGAACTAATTCATTATATTATCTAAATTTTATAAAAAGTTTACATTCGACATATTAAATATAAATTAAAAATATTTAAAAGTATTACACGGATTGTATTTATTTTTTCCATCATATATGATAAGACTTTAAGTTAACTTTTAAGGATTAAAAATAATTATTTAATTTATACTAAAAATATATATTTTAGAGTTGGGAACTCGCCTTAAATGATGATCAAGCTTTCTAATGAGTGTAGAATTCAAAAGTAACGAACTATCAATATTTTAAGTTTTAATACATTAATTATCGAACAAAATTCGAGTTAATTCAAATAATTTATAATAATTTCATTATTGTAATCACCAATTTTCAAATACAGAATAATAAAAAAGGTCAAGGCAGACTTACCCTGCTGCACACCATCCCGGTTGAAGCTCACCATGCCCTGCCTGCTCAGCTGCTGTCAAGCCCCAGCTGCTGTCACGCACGCCACCAAGCCGCTACAGCAGCCACTCCATCACCAAAAGACAAAGCCATGTCAGGATTTTAATTTTTTTAAGGCTAATATCTACTGTAAAACGGGTATAAAACCCAAACAAAAACAATGTAAAACAACAATTCTTCTGGAATCAAAAAAGGAACCGAAAAATTCCAAACTCAAAGGTATTTAGCCACTGCCGTTCTATTTTTCATTCTGGGCATGCATGCTGGGTTTTGTCATTCGAATGTATGCTAATAAAAAGGAAAGATGAAGAACTTATCTTGACTGTCGTGTTTCGTCGGAGGTAGAGGGGCTGTCAGGGAGATTCTTCTGGCTGGTTTTGGGTCTGTTTTGGCCATCGTGGATGTTGGTCGGCTCTAGGGGTCGGTCACGGTTAAACCGATCAAAACCATCAAACTCAAAAGTCTTCCATGAACAATCACCGGCAGAACATAATACAAAATTTTCCATTTTCACTCCACAAAAGAAAGATGGTACATTTTGGGGATGTTGCATTCAAGGCAAACGTCGCCCCCTGAAATGTGGGAGGTCCCCCTAAATACGGAAGCCTAATTACCTCAGTTGTTAACGGAGAGTACAAAAAGAGGGACTCTTTTCTTTCTGCAATAAAGCCGTACACTTTGAAAAGAACCCACCCATATAAAGAAGCACAGGTCGTGCCTTACGGAAAAGTAGATACTCTAGTCCTCTGCTCCTTTCTTCGACAAGGTACTCTCTGGAAAGGGGGTCCAGCAGCCGGCACTCACCTTGTATTAGATACAAAGGGGCATAACGCCAACAAAATTTCATTGCCCAGGGGAGTTCACCAATAGCAGGAATACAAGTGTTTGGGACTGACCAAGCCTTGCAAACTGCTGGTATCCGGCTTTGATCTACCCAACGCAAACGTCCAATTATACGTTCAAGGATGTCGAGGGGGAGATCCGACCAATTGGGCTCATGTCTACTCAGTTGCCGCCTCTTTGAAATCCGTTTTTCCTTAAAATTTCTCGTACCAGTCGTAGTCATCTCTCCTATTGAGATAATTTCTGAGGATTTTCAAGGAAATGCGCAAGGCTATTAGGCCTGAAAATAGCACAAAGCAAAGAGGCGCCAAGATTGCAGACACCAAAATCTAATTTAATGCAGCCGAGCAGCCCCGCTAGTCCTGAAAATATTATGGCATAAAGGCAACATAATTAAATATATGATCGTCTAGATTAGGGAGTAACTAATTTTTACAAGGCAGTTAAGGGGGAAAAGCTTCATAGAAAACATATAAAGAGATTTCACTTAAAAAAATATACAGCATTTGTACAATACTAGGAATTAAAAAAAAATCAAAATCAACCATTCTCCTTTCAGGTTGTGTTGTTACAGACCAGACTGTTATAACAGGTCAGGGGAGACGGAGAACTAATCTCATACAATACAGCTATGCTCAGGCAATATTGCAGCTATGAACTGAAATTACTCGACAGAGTAAGGAAGGTGAGGGATTTTTTTCTCCTATTAAAAATACTATCTTTACAAGTATGCCAAGCACATCATGACTAGAATTCAAACACATTTTCCTCGTCTTATTGGACATAAATTGAAGCAATTTATGCAGTAGGAAGAAACTAAAATGCAGTTATCACTTCTAAGTGATAAGTTGCTAACTAGCAGTTCCCAAAAACTTGAACAAATAGTTGAGAAAATGCATAAACCCAAGCAATATATACGATTAAAAACACTGCATTTTATCCTCAGGCAACCAAAGAAATTCACCAAGCTCAGCTGGAAAAAAACACTGCATTTTAACCAAGTAAGATTGAACTTTGCAGTATAAACGATTAAAACTAAAATTGAAATACCATTCATCAAAACATATGATGTTCCAGCAATAATTACTTTCGGCAGAAAACACAATTGATCTAACCAAAAGTTTTATTGGCATGAATAGAAAATGCCAATGATGATTGGTTTGCGTTGGAGCATTCAACTAGACAGCATGAATCAAGTCGTCAGCTCTCCAAATACCACCTAGCGGAAGTTCAATCCAAGTCATGTTGTACTGTGCTGCCTCAACACATTTACGGTAGAGTCGCGACCTACTTGGAGATGTGCTGGCGTAAAATATGTTATTTGCTAATAGACTTGTTCCCCACTGCTGCAGCAGAGAGATGTGCACTGGATAAATAACACAAGGTTATTCAAATCATTTTCATAATCATAATCCATGATTGAAAAACAAAGCTTAAGCATGAAATGGAGAGTAATGAAGTTAGTGATGAATCTGCTGTTATGATCTACACAGCAAGGGCTGCAGAGCAAGCAGCATTGATGAACCTTGAGTATCTAAGGAAGGAAGCCGATATGAATAGCCGAAAAGAAAGTACGAAGACCGAAGATCTCGTTTCAACACAAGTAGCAAACAGAGTTGAGGAGAATGAAACTGCAAGCAGATCAATCGTCAAGGCAATTGACCTTTCTCAATTGGAATAACAAAATACAAAGAAACCAAGTCTTCATTCCATCCTCGTATTCCTGAACCTCCCTTAACTCTGGTACTTTCGAGTTATTTAGAGCTCTCTTCGTTGTCGAAGAGCTTTCTGCCGCTGGTATTATCTACAACAATAACCATGAAAACTACAATACAAATCCAGTTCATTCATAGATAAAGTATTCTCAGCAACCAATTTCAGAATAAATTGTCTCTAATATTCAAAATTCCGTGTCATTTATGCCTATTTATACATCATACGATTCTTAAAATTTCTCGTACCAGTCGTAGTCATCTCTCCTATTGAGATAATTTCTGAGGATTTTTCAAGGAAATGAACAAGACTATTAGGAAGATGAGGCTAATCAATGAAAGACAGGAACGGCGGCTGGAGGCGGACTGGTTACAAGGGGTTCTTCTCTTGACAACTGTCCTAATTTGTTGGATGATTCTTTGGGTTTCAATGGCTATGTTTTTTTATGCGTTTGACTTTAACTAGACAATCAAACCAGACTTGAGATACAGTTTCAAACGTGTTGGATGACTTGTGCAGACATCACCCATACAAACTTACACAACTGAAAATGTTTTTCCCCCTCTTTTTTTTTTTTGATAGGAACAGAATGCCTCTTTAAAAACCTCCCTCATAGTAGTTCTCAGCCCTAAGACTAGAACCAACTAGCGGAAGGAGGAAAAGAGTGCATCAGTTTATTGATAATAACCAGTTACATAAGCCTTAAGAACAGTCTTTCAAACTACATAGAACATAAAACATAGAACACTCCTATATGACCTTTCCTGTAAAACTTACGAACCAAACAAAACAACATAATAAATCACCCAATTCCTTCCTTTGCTAGCTTATCCGCCTCTGAGTTACAGCATCTAGGAATCCACCTAACAATAACCTGTTTAGTAGAACAGTAGAAGCAATTTCCTTGACAAGATTTGACATGAAAACAGGGACTATCGCTTGGTCTTTTATCCAATCCGCTGCTATCTTTGAATCACTTTCAATAATTAGTCTGCCCTTCGAAGCCCATTGTGAAGAAACAAATAGATCAATGCCTTTTTTGATAGCTTTCAACTCAGCTAGAATGGTAGAAGTAGGACCTACAGATTCTGCAAATGAGACAAGTGTAACCCGATTCCAATCTCTGAGGATACCCCCTATTCCAGGAGGGGGATTCCAGCAGTTCCCCATCCTGTTCAGGTCTTTGAACACTTTTAGATTATCCACCAAAGAAGGGTCAACAATTAAAGAATCCACCTGAATAGAGATTAGGGGATACTTTGCTATATACCATTTGGCTAACCTTAACCGAACCGTGAGAAACAATGATATCTATCCAACTCTTTTTCCAAAAATAATCTCATTTCTCATCTTCCAAATTGACCAAAAGACTACCCCGGAATAAACTTCCATATAGCAGATTTAGGATTCATATCAGCCCAAGAACTGAGCAGAGATGGAGGGTCTTGCGGAAGAGCTTGTCGGATACCCCAGAATCCTATAATCTTATTCCACAGTTCCCACGTAACTTGACAAGAAATAAAAAGATGCTGGATTGTTTCATCCCCTTGGTTACATAGAGGGCAGAGAATATTACCCCCTAAAGGAACCCCTCTTCTCAACAATTCAACTCTAACCGCAACTTTTTTGTGGAACAACTGCCAAAGGAAAGATTCTACTCTAGGAGGAACTAAACCCAACCATACATATTTACTCCATTGAAACGTTACATCGTTAGATATAGAAAGAGCTTTCTTGCATGCTTTAACAGAAAACAACCCCACATCCGACACATTCCACAGCAGACAATCTTCCAAAAACTCGGAAAGTTTAACATTTTTCAACCTATCCAACAGCTGTACCAACTGTTCCCCTCTTTTTGAAGAGAGAAAATAGCACAAAGCAAAGAGGCGCCAAGATTGCAGTCACCAAAATCCAATTAAATGTAGCCCTGCTGGGCCAGAAAAAATTATGGCATGAAGGCAACATAATTAAATATATGATCGTCTAGATTAGGGAGTAACTAATTTGTACAAGGCAATTAAGGGGGAAAAGCTTCATAGAAAACATATAAAGAGATTTCACTTAAAAAATATCCAGCATTTGTATAACACTAGCAATTAAAAAAATCAAAATCAACCATTCTCCTTTCAGGTTGTGTTGCTACAGACCAGACTGAGGTCAGGGGAGACGGAGAACTAATCTCATATAATACAGCTATGCTTAGGCGATAGTGCAGCTATGAACTGAAATTACTCGACAGAGTAAGGAAGGTTAGGGATTAGTCGTGCATGTAACAAAAGTGTGATCAAGTGACCCGTAGTTGACGGGAAAGAGACGAAAGGTGCAAGACGTCTAATATTTGATTAAATAGTCATTTAGTTTCTTTTTTTCTTTGAGCATTTTTTAAGGCTAATATCTACTGTAAAACGGATATAAAACCCAAACAAAAACAATGTAAAACAACAATTCTTCTGGAATCAAAAAAGGAACCGAAAAATTCCAAACTCAAAGGTATTTAGCCACCGCCGTTCTATTTTTCATTCTGGGCATGCATGCTGGGTTTTGTCATTCGAATGTAATGCTAATAAAAAGGAAAGATGGAGGAAGAACTTAACTTGACTGTCGTGTTTCGTCGGAGGTAGAGGGGTGTCGGGGAGATTCTTTTTGTAAACACCCGTTTTTTATCGGGTTTAAAAAAATATTAAAAAATATTATTATTATTAATATTTATTGCAACTTTTGCAGGCTTTACAACAAGCCCAACTGAGCCTAAACCAGATTACAAACAATTGACCAGCTGAGCCCAATTATAAGACCCGACCCACAACTCTATCGGATCGGATCCGAATCCAGAATTGAACCGATTAGCTGCTGCCGTCAATCATGCCACCATGAAGCCTACTCCACAAATCATCCACAGCAAAAAAAAATCAACCACCCAAAATGTTATCAAAGTCAATACTTGCTCAACCAAATATCACCAAACGCGAATAAAAATCAACAAGAGGACAAGAAGGATTCGGTGAAAAAAATATAGAAAAGGAGGACCCATTGGAGCAAGCAGAAGGGGGGACAACCGGTCAACCATCACCAGAGGCGATCAACGAAAAACCCTTCCCCATTCGTTTTACACAACAAAGCAACAAATCAAGAAAAAAGACTGTGCATAAGAAGTTCTTCCTCCCATTCGAAGATTAATGTAAACACAAGGCTATCTTTTTTCAAGGAATCAAAGCAGTGCAAAGTAAATCCAATTCATGCAATATTTTTCTTCATTATCATTTACAATTGCATTTTTTACTTGTTTTAATAGCTTTCGAAGTAAGTACAAAACTCAAAATAAAAAGGATAAGTCGAGTTTACCTTCGGGTATAGGAATGTAGTCGAGGCTAGTGTGATAGTATTATGGTTTAGTTTATATTTGGGGTTTCTTTTATCAAAACAAAAAATAAAAAGAAAAGCAGGGGAGTAACGAGTTTACCTGTCGTCGGAGTCTTCGTCCGTAAAGACTCTTGGCAGTGTCGGTGGAAGAATAGAAGGCAACCAAATAGAAAAAGAAAAAAAGGAAAAATGAGTTTTTATAGAATCGAACTACAACCACTAAAAAATACCAGAGAACTCAACTTAAAAACGAAAAACGAAAGGAAAGTGGTTTACCTCTAGGTTCTGTTCTTAGGCCATCATAGATGTGCATAAGGGAGAGTGGAGTCGATTTTTGGCCAGAAATCGGCCAACGTGTAGGGAGTTTTGAGTGACCTTAGGTTTTGGTCGAGGAGTTAGAATAGAAGGGGGGCTTACTCAATCTGCTTCGGGTTTTTTCGGGGCTATCTCGGTCTTAGTTGGGGTCGGCAGAAGTGAGGATGGCTACCGATGATTGGTGGCCAAGGCATCGCCGGTTTTGGTTCTGCTGGGTTTTGAAGGAGGCGTCGGTTTGGAGAGTTTTAGAGAGGTTATGTTAGGGTCTGGTCACTTAGGATTGTGGTTTTTCGTTTGGTGGTGACTGAAGGTCGATCGGCCATCGTTCAATGGCCAGAATTCTCAGTTCTAGGGCTGTTGGAATCTCGGTCGTTTGTGAGAAAATAGAAAGCGAAGAGAGTGTTTACCTTAGACTTGTCGGTGTCGTGTTTTAGTCATCAAAGTGGAGAAGGTAGAAGCTTTAGAGTTGTTTAGGGTCTGTTAGAATAGAAACAGAGGTTTTAGTTTACTCAGAATAGTTTAGGCATTTCGTCGGATTTGGTTTGAAGGTGGCCGGAGAGGATGATGGTCTTTGGTGAGCGACCGACCGGGCGAACGTTGGATTTCTTGAGAAGAGGTTTCGGTGGCCATGGTTATGGTTTCGTCGAGAGGATGGATTTAAAAGTGAAGTGCGGCTGAGGGCTTATCAGTTTAGGGTTAGCTTATAGTTAGGTTTTATGTATTAAATTTAGAGTAAATTGTTTACATACCCTTAACTTTGGCTGCGTATTTTCATTTTAGTCCCTTATGGGGATTATTTCGTTTATTGTTTAATTGTTTTGTCTTAATTTGGTAAATATGCAAATTAATTGAACACTATATTTTAGATTTGTAAAAATTACAAAAGCATACTTTAGTCCCCCGTAATTTAGCACATTTATAATTTAGTCACCTGTATAAGTTTGTTTTTGAATTTGACTTGTTTCATTTGTCTTAATATTATTATTTTCCAGATTTTTTTTTTGTTTTATTTGTTCTGCTAATGCTCCTCCTATTTTAGTTATTTTTATGTTTTAATCCCCTGTTTATTTGTTATTTAGCATGATTGATTTTAATTACGTGTTTATTTTTTTTGTTTTTTGTTTAATCCCTAATTAATTTAGTAATTATTCAGCTTAATCCTTGGTTTACCATTTTTGGGAATTTCTGTTTTTGACCTTAGACTTCGAGTGCATTATGTTTCAGTCTTATGTATCAGTTTATTTTTAATTTATACAGTTGCCACATTTCGCTTCCCGAATCAATAATTGTTATCTGCTTAGTTTACCTAAAGTCTACATAGTTTTGTTTTTCATATTAATCTTTGCTATACCATATTTTTTAGTAGTATGTATGATGGACTCACGTAATTGCCTGTCCAGTTCAGTTGGTTAGAGCGTAAGGCTCTTAACCTTGTGGTCGTGTGATCGAGTCTCACGGTGGGCAATTCATAAATTCTAATTATCGGATGTCTCCCACGAAAGCTGCTCTCAACCTGGTGTTGGGGGACAGCCTACTATCCTACCTTCCCCTTACCCCATTACACATGGGAATATGGTCAGCTAATTTCTTATGATGGACTCACGTACATAACTCGACATTATTACATAATTGGATTAAGGATAATACTTTTTTTAATTTAAAATTGTTTTAAGAGTGTATTGTCTTATTTTATTAGAGGCATACTTTTAACGATTTTGAATTAAAAGTGTATCCCATTAGTGACACCTAAAACTTTGTTCATCACTTTAAAATTTGGGAATGAAAGACGAATAAATGTTCGGCTATTTAAATTTGTCGAGAAAATGTTGTTATACCTCATCTAAGATCTGATATCGATATTTTTAAATAATCAAATATTTTTTATCTTTCTAAAAGGCTGGGTAATTTCAATTTAATCTATTTTTGTGCTTTAGAATATTCTAATATTTGTATGTTGTTGTTTTTGTCGGGGATCATAAACCAAATTAAAATCGAACTTGTAAATTTCATTGCAGAGACGTTAATTAATCGATCAGGTACCGATTTAGGGCGCTGTGGATGTGCTAATCCGTTCCCACGCGTAATCGACTCCCGAACTCATTTTCTAATAACGCATACCACAAATTATCATCACAAATTGTCATTTTAATTAAAAATGATTTTTATTTAAAATGACAACGTTTTTTAGTGCACAATCACACCCTAATCAATGATTAGTGAAGACTCTTCGAACCGTGTGTTTTTGTTATCGTAAAGGAATTTCCAAAAATTTCGAAACGAAAGATTTTCTAAATCACATTCACTTTTAATTAAAATTTAATCATGAATGGATAATTAAAAATGGTGTGGTTTTAAAATCTCGCACTCTTTAGGGGAAAATCGTTTCAACAATTTTGGGTCCGGTTTTGGGTCCGGTTTTGGTTGTTTTGGCCATCGTGGATGTTGGTTGGCTCTAGGGGTCGGTCACGGCAGTGTGAGGAGAGAGATATGGTCTTCTCGGCCTAAGAAAGGAAAGGGAAGGCTTGATATAGCGAGGGGTTGCGCTGGTTGGGGTGTCCAGCGCCTCGACGTGCGATAACCGAGGGAGAGTGGCCTCCCGTATAGGGTGGCTGGGGTGGCTGGGGCGCGGATTTTGGCTCCTTTGAAGGTGTCAGCCTCCGTGAGTTTTGAGAGAGGGGAGGAGCTGAAAAAACTTTAGGTTTGGCTTTGGTTTTCTCGGGTAGAATCGAAGATGTGAGGAGGGATATTAAGCTTTTGTATTTTTGGGATAATCACGCTAAGGTCCCTATACCTTTAGCGTTATTTTACATTTTGGTCATTAGGTCGTGGGTTAATCATCGAAAGATCCCTATATTTTAGGTTTTTTATGTCTTGTCACTAAAGTAGAGTCTAATTAGGTTTTTAGTCATCCTTTTTAGCATGTTATTCGATTTAGCCATCTGTTTAAGGAAAATCACATGTAGGTTCCCCTAAGTTTAATTTTTTTGCATTATGGTCACCTGCAATGGTTATTTTGTTTTATTTTAAATTTATTGGGTTGATTTTTTTTCGCATTTTTATTTAATTTAGACTTGAAAATAGATTATTGTTATTTAATCCCTATAGTTCAATGTGTTTTATATTTTGGTCACTACTATATTTATTTTGTTTTGATTTTACTGCTTAATTTTTAATTTATCTTAACCTAGTCCTGTCCTTGCATGCTTAATTTATTTCATTTTTGCCCTTGCAATTTAATAATAAAACGATCTAATCTATGGTATTTAATTACTTAGACCTTGATTGAAATTCGTATTTGTGTGCTTTATTTTATTTTACTTTATTTTATTTGTTTGTTTATTTTATTTTATTTTATTTTGTGCATTTTAAATTTTTATTAGTTGGTTGATATTTTAAAATGTAGGTTGTTTTATATTTATTTAATTAGCCTTTTAGAGTGTGTTTGTAAACTAGGATCTTTAAGTAAATAATAATTTAGAGTTTCACATTAGACTTAATTAGGGAACAATTCGATTATAGTTTATCACAAAATGCTCGATTACTATAATCGTTTGTTCGAATCCCAAATTATTAATCATTAATTAATTTTTAAAACTTGTTTATTTTAATCCCTTTATTTTTAATAATTAATTAACACAATTATTAGAAACTTGAATTATTGGCTAGTCCTTAGACTTTTAGGAGTTATAGATTTAGTCCTTTACATTAACTTACTTACACTAAGGTCTCTATACTTTTAGGTCCCTAAATTTAGTTCTCTTACATTTTGGCCTTAAACTTTTAATTAGATTTTTTTAAAAATTAATATAATTAATTTGGATAATTAGAGCCTTCATTTTAAACTTTGTTTCAAACTAGTCTTTAAACTTAGGTGGATTTTTAATTTGGCACTCGCTTTTGCTCGAGGCTCCATTTTAATTATTCGGATATTCCATAATTAATTAAAGTTTATTAGGTTAATATTAGAGCCTACACTTTTAGGTTTAATTCCCTAGGTCCTTTAAACTTTTATAATTTACACTTTAAGTTAGAGGGAAATAATTAATTTGTTAGGTATAATTAAGTTTCATAACCAATTGTTTGACTGCATTTTGTTTTAAAATCTAAGGCAATTAAGGAGTCAATAGTATCTCCCGCAAATATGCTCAATGGGTGACTACTGGTGATTCCCGAAATAGGTCGACATCCTTTTCAAGACTGCATCATGCTTTCTAAAATATCAAGACAATGTCCAATTATTGGGCACAATAGTTGATCTTCCGCATTCATGCTTGGGGGTGAAGGCTATCAACTTTAATAAACGAATACTCTTTTTAACTTTGCATCCATGATGATTTTTAAATTATATAAAGTTTGAACTCAAAATTTTCAATTTTAAATGTAGGATAATCAACTAAGTACTAATTTTTGGGCGATATAGGGATGCTAATCATTCTCCACTCGTAACTGACTCTCGAACCTATTTATTGGTTTTCATAGACCCTAAAACTTGATATTTTGATAAAATAATAATAATAATAATAATAATAATAAAATGTTGTATTAAAATTATCCGATTTTTATGGTGTTTCGATCGCACCTTAAAATAATTGATGACGACTCCTCAAATTTCAAAAATCTTTTCAAAAAACCCTAAATTGTACTATCATTCTTCCCCGCCCGACGAAAAACAATGACCACAATTATGATAAACTTACAAGTTAAATTATCGTATAAGAAACAAGGTTCAAACCGAAATCAAATTTAACTTGTCTTAATCGAACATTTTCAATCAATATTTATTTAATGAGCTAGACATTAAAACAATATATTTAAAATATAATATTAAATACATTATAAATATAATATTAATAAAATATATTCAATATGAAAGTATTATTTAAATATGTGTAATAATATTTAAATAGTAAATTAACATGAAATAAAAACATAATAAATATACACCCAAATAATTAATTATCTTACTCAGAATAGAATTCATTATCTCAAAATAGTTTTATCTGAAATGATAAGAACTAATAAATAATTATCAAATAAATTAAAATAATATTTTTATTAAAATAATTATTATCATTGATAATATTATTTTTTTCACGAAAATAAGGCAAACTGAAATAAAATTTCGAATTTATGTTTACCTTTAGAATTAAAGTCTTTCTCTATGCTGACACTGTTCTAAATTTGACTCAAAACCAAATCAAATTATTGTTCATTTATCGTTGATAACCAATCCTTTTTTTTTTTGCTTAATCCCGAAGCAAGTGCTCAAACTATGCATTTTTTTGTCCAAATAAGTGCCTAAAGTATTTTTTGATAAGTTAGGTGCCTAACGTTCAAACAAGTCTACTTTAAGTGTTCATGACGTAACAATCGTTAGTTTTTTCTATTAAGTGACATATGTTACAATATGATAATTTTTAAATTTATATTTTAAAAAATATTTAAAATATTATTATATTTAAAAAAAACCCTAATTTATTTTAAATTACAAAAAATCTCAAATCCCTAAAATCTCCATTTCTAATACTAAGCCATCGCCACAACCCTTTTCGACCACGACCGCCGCCGCCGCCGACGTAGTCTCTGTCATCATTCTAGTTATACGACGCCATAGTTGTCGTCGATTAGTTGTCAGAATTACGTGGGATCGCGATTTTTATCCTAGGAT